ACTGGTTGCAGTTATTTTGTGCCCATTTGTCTGCATTGCTAACAAGGTGAATGGGATTTATCTTGTTATCATGTGGGAACAACAACAGCTGGAAGGACAGGGGGGGCGGGATCAATTAGCCAAAATTATTTGAATTTTAGCTAGGTGATATTTTTAGTTACATGGTTAAATATGTAGTTTGAACAATGCATGTAATTAAAATTCAGTTCTTATTTTTCACATTTAGATGTGTAAAAGCATGTTGTAAATTTGCATTCTTATGTAATTATCAATTAACAAGACAGTCTATACAAAAACAAAAGTGGGTGCCTTATAACAAATGTATCCAATTAATTAAGGTTTTTTTCTTTATTTAAAATTTCATTGATTTTAAGTTTATTTTCCTTGATTACCATCTACAGGTATTACACTAAATAATAATATTAGTTATCTTTTAGCTTTCAGTTATTTTACAGTTTTGTCCTTTATTTTTTCCAAAGGCTTGAAAGTAACACAATAAACTACTGAAAATATATCTATTTTTATCTTCATTATGTTAAACTATATTTATGTCAAAGATTTACACAGTTATTCTTTCCATTACTGAAGTAGCTATGCATGATAAGTCATTTTAAGCCCTCACACTTTGAGTCAGCTTTCTTATTATGGCTGCCAGAAGTTAACTAGTAGTTTGAAAAGGTGGTGGGTCTAAAATGCCGTGAGAAAAATGTCTAAAACTGAAGATTTAAGGCACTCTGAAGGCAAAATTTGGGATATACAGTAGAGTGTCATGAACTGCAAAGTTTAAGCAACAGACAAACAAATGTTTGTTTGTTGGCTGACAAACAAAAGGTAAGCTTTATTCCAAAGCTGATAGCTTTAGTCCAGGAAGGGAAAAAATAAAGTGTAATCCAAGATTATATGAAGCTGGTTCCCAAAAGGCTATAAACAGGACTACAGAGACTTATGCTGAAAAGACAACAAAGGCTAGAATAAAGACAGACTGTTTCTACACATGAAGGCAGATGTCAGGTAGATGGAAACGCTTCTCCTTCCATCTACCAGCACAGTTGAACTACCAAAATAAATCAGGAAGTGAGTGACAATAACTGACACGGGAGATGTAGAGATTTGAACTTTCACACATCGGAGGATGCAGGGAGGAAGGGAATGCAAGTGACAACTTACAAACAGAACCTGGAAGTAAGAATTTGAAGTTCAAAGCACATGAAAACAAAAAACATAAATAACAAACTAAGGAAACAAGGAAAAGCATAACAAATCCACTTTGGTGTTTTTCTTTCTTCTTTTTTTGCTGCATCATGATATGGCACCTCAACCCCTGTCATCTGTGCTGTTGCAGGTGCAGAAGGAGAAGCTCCATGCCGAGCTGAAGCAGGTACTGAGCCAGAAGAGAAGTCATCTGAGAGAGTCGACCTGCCAGCTGGCCCAACCAGAGATGGACTCTGAGCCAGCAAATGAACAGACAGTAAGCAGAAGTCTGACTTTTCAGGCTGAAATATGTTACCTTTCTATGTATCAATGGCTTAAAGCTGTAATGTGCCAGGTGATGCACAGCTAAACACAGAAAACTGTTAACTTTTTCCTGCATTTTACTTCCTCTCTTCAGCCTGTGGAAAAGTGAATGTAGTCTAAGAATAGAATGACCTTTCTTCTGCGACAGCTTCATGGATAAAATGAACTTTGAAGTAAAGTTGAGAACAGTACAGTAAAACATGCACCTACTCAAACAAGTGCAAAATTTTACTCAGCATTGGAGCCCAAAAATAATTAAAATTCAAGACCGAAAAGTCGTTTTAGCAATTTTTTACTTGCTTTTGACCTGCTATTCAATTCTGATGCAGTAGTGTGATGCAGGCTGACAAAACCACAGGATTTATGCACTGACTAACTTCTTTTAAAAGACTGAAATAATGACTAGTTTTGTGTTTAACTATATTTTTGCTATTACTAAACTAGTATTGGTAATAATAAAACAAAAAAAGAATCTCGTGGATAACCGAAGTTTTGTGTTGGTGTCTGTGTGTCGCAGAGTGTGGAGGAAGCCTCTAAATCTGTGGAGATTGTGGTGGAGACAGAGGCAGGGGCTGGAGCCAGCGGCTACAGTGTGACTGGTGGAGGAGAGCGAGGGATCTTTGTAAAAGACGTCCTCAAAGACTCTCCAGCTGCTAAACACCTCAGTCTACAGCAAGGTGCCTGCAAGCACACCTGATTCATTTAGAAAGCACTACTAGCATACATAACATTTATATAAGATTTAAAAGGTAATTAAAAAGATATTTAGACTTCTTTTAAGGAGTTTGCACAGAAAACTTTATTATTTGGGGGAAAAGCCCAATATTACATTTTCCACATCATCTGTTCTCATTTTATTTCATATCAGCTTTGTTTATATCCCACCTTTAAAAATAGAGTTCATGAATTGCTTCAGTAATATAATGAAATATGAAACAAAAAGCCAAAAAGTTGGGGCCAAATGAAGCAAATAAAATTAAGGTGAAATTAAGTTGAAGTTAAAAGGGGGAAAAATCTAATGTAACATGATATCAATAGAAGATAATAGGACAAGTCTTGACCCAGAAGGTGGAAATCTACAAATTCCAACAACAGTTGACGCCTATTTTTGTTGCAGAATTTTGCAGAATTTTTGTAAAAATCTTCAAATATTGATTAAACACTTCCTGACTCATCAGGGAGTCTGCAATTTCCAAAGAGTTAACAAACTCTAACCCACTTTTTTTTAAATGCATTTATTCTGATGACATTGTCATTAAGGGGG